AATTGTTTTTATTTGACCGGATACGACTTCGATCAGTAGAAACAAAATAAGTTTGAACCTAAATTTTTAGGGTGATGATATATACACCTCCTATCTTTTATAAATACACTTCCAATCTCTTTTATTAAAATAAAATTCCTAAAATATCTTTCTAACTAAATTCTTATTTTAAGTTTTATTCTTAAAATAATTTTTTATTCACCCCTTTCTTTCACCATTCTTTTTCTTCTTCTCATTCTCCTTTTCCTTTTTCATCACTCTAGTTACTACTTGATGATTTTATTCTCTTTTTTTTTTCGTTCTTGATTTTTCTTCTTTTCCAATCGATATAATCATATTTTATCTTTATATCTTTTAAATTCTATTTTTCACTTTCTACTATATCCTTCTTTAAACCCTAATTTTTCATTCAATCTTTATTATTCTCTACATTCAATGCAAGGTACAACAAGAATATATAGTTGGTTAAATTTTTGGCATTGGTAGACGATGACGGTGGATGATGGAGACAAAGAAACACTAGTAATTTAAAATTCTCATACTTCTAGAAAATAAATTTTGAAACGTTAATTTTAGCATTCCAGAAAGTACTCTCTGGAATAGTAAAATTATTGTTCCGGAAAACATTTTCTAGAAGTGTGTTTCTTATATAATTCCGGAAAGTTCTTTCTAGAACATTAAATTTAGTATTCTGAAAAATATTTTTTGGAATTATGTAACAAGCACACTTTCGGAAAATCTTTTCCGAAATAAAAAATTTACTATTCCTAAATGTACTTTCTGTAACAAAAGCTTTATTATTCTGGAAAGCACTTTCCAAAACTAATAGTGAGAAGAATTACTTAGAGAAAAAAATGCATATGGTTTGACACCTTTCCCTTCAACACTGAACCCGCTTACAACTTATAACAAAACCAAAAAAGAAAGAAGATAATGCAAAAATTGAAAAGGGAAGAAGGGGAGGTAGGAAGATGCGGAGAAAAAAGTGAAGAAGAAGAAATGGGGTGTACAAAGAAGAAAGAAGAACAAAGAGAAGAGAGGTGTGAATCTAAAAAATTATAAATTAGAAAAATGTTGAGGGTAATTTAAAAAGTTATTATTTAAAAAAAAAAAAGGGAATATGTTTATAAAAAAAATGGAAGTGTATATATCGTCTGCTAATTTTTATGGTCTAGTCCAAGTCATGTGTTGGGCTAATTACTTACTCGGGCAGAGCATTTTTTGATCCAATAACTATTTGTTTACTGGTTAAATTACATATTTAGATATTATAAAGGGATAAAATTGTAATGTGTTCCGTGGTTCACAATTAAGCACTCACATGACATCATCCGTAATTTATACGTTATAAACAAGACTCCATGTTCCTCTGTTCTCGTAGTCAACAAACGTCGCTCTCCGTTATTCAATTTAAATTATTGATTTTCTTATAGGGGGGTTGGATCCAATTTACTGAGAGTAGCTACTCAAAATGAAGCAGTTCAACAACCCCACAATTATATTGGTTTAAGTGCAGAATTTATTTATTTTTATATATACTTTGAAACAGATTATATTTTCTTTCTTAGCTAAGTTTTTAAGTTCAATTTTATTTTATAAATAAGATAAAGGCATTTTAGTAGATGAAGGCATCCGTAATATCTAATCTTTAATTTTAATCCTCAGCCATTTTAGTTTCGCAGCTAAATTTGATCATTAAAATTGAAGTGTTGATCATGACTTTATATTTAATAGATGACATAATTAGTAGATGAAGGCATCCGTAATATCTAATCTTTAATTTTAATCCTCAGCCATTTTAGTTTCGCAGCTAAATTTGATCATTAAAATTGAAGTGTTGATCATGACTTTATATTTAATAGATGACATAATAATTAACATTAAATAATATTTAGAATAATTGAATTGTATTTTTAACATTCACTTTTATGTTGTTTTACCATTTTTAATGAGATAAAAATAGAGTTTAAAAGTAAAATTTAGTTTAAATATTATTTTTCATGTATTTACTATGGTCATGGTATATGTTATTAATCATAATTCGATTAAAAGGACAAGATGCTAAGGTAATGTATTCCAAATAAAGGTTTCAGCAAAAAAATAAAAATAATCCAATGAAGGTCCAACATTCAACTGATCGTTAGAATTTAGGGTGCATCTGAATTTGCAAGAATATTTGTACTTTCTTTGTTATGGATGGAAAACGTCAAGACATGTTATAAATAAATTCGGTAAGATATTATAATATATATACCACAATATTAATAAGAGATTTTATAATACTTATAATCTTAAGATGAGCTGGCACATAGTGCACATTATGTACAGATAACAAAACATTGTTGGGGCACAAAGAACGAAAAACCTAATACGAGTCACCAACTCAATCATAATAACTTATTGCTCAATTGAAATTGTGTAAATGAAAGAAAAATAATTTTAAAAAAAGATTAGTTATTTGGGTAAATATTCTATTTTGGATCAATAATTGTAATTGGTAAGATAATAAAATTATGAACAAATATTTTGGATTAATAATATTATTTTAGTCATACATTTAAGCACAAGCCTTTCAAAACGTTTTCTTAGAATTAACATTATTTTGACCATAACTACGTTCTCTTGTAACAATGTTATTATTATTAATTATTATTTTTTTATGAGTGTAACAAGGTCAATTTCCACTATGGTAAGTTTTCTACTGATGAAGGTTTCTACTTTTTTGGATGCCTTAATTGGCAACTAAATACGGGAAAGTCAAATGAAACCGAATAATGTTTTTCGTTACCTTCCTCAAATAATGTCCACCCCAGATGCCAACAAATCATTACCCCACACACCCTATATATAACCTATAACCTATAAAATTAATAAGTTTTTATGTAATTTCTTTTTTAATATTTTTCATCTTTATAAAATTAGAACTATTATTTTTAGTTTTATTTTTATGTGATCATTTTTTTTCACTATTTTTATTTATTAAAAAGTTAAATAATCATATTAAACACTACTTATAACCATTATTAATATCATATCAATATTTAATATTTTTTAAAAAAATTATAAGTCTTTAAAATATATGTTATTTATCTACCTCAAAAGGATTATTAGAACTAACAATCATTAGTTTAGAGTTTAGAGAGATGAAAATTAAAGAAAAATATTTTACGGGAATCAAAATCAAAATTTAATATTTTACAAAGACCAAAAATAGTATTTATAAATTTTAAAAAGATGAAAAATAAAGAAAATTTTTTAGAGGAACCAAAATTAAAATCATCAATTTTATAGAGATTAAAAACTTATTTAAACCTTAAAAATATTTCATTTTAATTTTTATATAATTATTTTTACTTTTTATTTATAAAAATTACGAAAATAACAACTGAGTTCGAAATACTTCTTAATTTTCATCGCTTGTCGACTCTAGTAGTTTGTTTCCATTTTATCTATTGCTAAAATTTAGAAGGTAAAAATTATAAAATTATAAAGACTAAAATAATATATATATATATATATAAATTAAAATATTTTTAATTATTGAGATTAAAAATAATATTTATAAAACTATATATGAAAAGTAATTAAACCAATCAAATATGATATACGTGATTTATGATTGGTAAATGAAAGAGAAACGACGAATAAATAAGAAGCACAAAATAGTGGAGTTGAAAGCTTAGAAGCCCGCTTCCATCGTTAGACCCTATTCACACGCTCTCTTACATTCCAACTCCGATCATAGCACAGACACACAACAATGACACATAAACTACATGGTTTTTCTTTTCTGTCAACTACAACACTTCAGCAACGTCTTTCTCTTCTTCTTCTTGCAATGTTGACATGATAAACAACGTGGATCTCCTTGTTTCTCACCTGAATTGGGTTTTCAACAACTGAAACATCGTTTATCAATGCATCTAGTAATCACTCATCACATCCCTGGTTGGTAAATTCAATGAATGGTGGTTTGTGCTATTAATGGCATCTTTAAAACTATTCACTTCTCGGGGTGCACGTTGTGTATGATCATATCATACCCTTTGTCGGCAAAGTAACCATGGTTATGATTGTTCCAAATAGAGGAGTGCAGGGTGTTGTAAAGCGTTGAAATAGTGGTTGGAGTACTATAGCAATGGCTGAGAGAAATGGGGCTTCTAGTTCTTCCCTCAAGGTTGTTTCTAGAAAGGCATTATTATTCTTCTTCACAACCACATCGGTTCTGTTCTTCATGTCATGGTTCTTTGTTCTGCGATCCACGAGTGGTACTCAGTTCATTGGCAACACCTTGTTGCCCAATTCAAAGCTTTTATCAACCTTTGAGGGTTCAAACTCTAAGACGCAGAAGCAAAGTGTTGAATCCTCATTTGGGAACCGAGCAATCCTTGTGGACAGTGAAGATGTAGAAGTGGCCAGTGAGACAAAGGTAGTGAAACATGATGGAGGGAAATGCAACAGAAATGATGAACTTGTTCTCAAGGTTTTCATGTATGATTTACCACCAGAGTTCCATTTTGGCCTCTTGGATTGGAAACCAAGTGGAAACAGTGTGTGGCCTGATATTAGAAACAATATACCTGGCTATCCTGGTGGCTTGAATTTGCAACATAGTATAGAGTTTTGGCTTACATTGGACATTCTTGCTTCAGAATTTCCTCATGCCCCCAAGGCTAGGACTGTGATACGAGTCCAAAACTCTAGTGAAGCTGATATTATATTTGTGCCATTTTTTTCATCTTTGAGCTATAACCGCTTCTCCAAAGGCACCTCGCTTGGAAAGAAGAGCAGGAACAAGATTCTGCAAGAAAAGTTGGTGAAGTATTTGACAGCTCAAGAGGAATGGAAGAGATCAGGGGGAAAGGATCATTTGATATTGGCTCACCATCCCAATAGTATGGTGGATGCAAGAATGAAGCTGTGGCCTGCTACATTCATTCTTTCAGACTTTGGGAGATATCCTACAAATATAGCTAATGTTGAAAAAGATGTTATTGCACCTTATAAACATTTAATCAGTTCCTATGTCAATGACAACTCCGACTTTGATAGCCGTCCAACATTGCTGTACTTCCAAGGAGCAATATATAGAAAAGATGTGTGTTCCTCTTGCTCTTTGATAATATCTTGGTTTTCTTTTTGATTTTGGATTTTTTTAGCTTTTCAGAAAAGACAATTCTGCACTGACATACAGAACTAATTTTAGTTAGGGGACACTTTACCTTTTATTACAATTTAACGTGTTTTAAGGGGGCTAATGGGGTCCCTGTTCTGTAGCAGTCCCTAGATAGGAATCTTGAATGAGCTATCTTTGGTGATTTTGGATCCTTTCAGGTGGGTCTACTACATTTCTACTAGTGTTCCCTTAAGGAAATTCAGTCATAATAATATAGAGTTAAATAATGAAGGAAGCGAGATTAGCTAAGTTAGAAATTAGAATATTTCAGTAGTTCAACGATTTCAAAATTGTTGAAATTTGAACCCTTGAGTTGCTGGTGAAGTTTGATATTTGAATAGCAAGTTCTTGTCACTGAGTATTTTCTGTAACATGTTTGTTTGCTTCTCCACAACATATCAGCTAATCATCATATTTTTTCTTTACAAAGTTTAGTTCAATAGGATGGAACTTTCCTTCAGAATGGCTTTCTCTTTTTGAATAGTGGTGCCATATTAAGTGAATTTATGCATACATACTGGTCTGATGCAATATCAATTTCCATAGGAGCAGATTCGTTGTCAGAAAAAACAAATGTTTTTGGTCATCTTAGTTGCATAATGTTATGCAATTGTTTGATGGAGTGAACTGTAAAAAATAACTAAGAGTTAGAGTTGGAAGTGTGATATTCATCGACATAACTAGAAAATCGATGTAGCTTGTCTTCCATGATTTGTATGAGGGATTCAATTCCAAGTGAAATCGAGATGCTATTCTCTTTTTTCTTTCCTGGAAATTTCAGGAATCATTGTCTGGTGTCTTATCCTGTCGTAAGTTCAGTAATCAATAGTCTATTTTGTACTTATGTTTTGTAAAGAAAATCAATGTCACTTACCTTTAGGGGTTAAGAAATGAACCACCTAATGTTTGGAGATAGTATTTTTCATGTTTTTCTGTGTAAATTTATCCCCTTGTTGATTTTGATAGACTCCAATGCATACTTGAAGTTTGTAATTGTATCGTTTTATTTGATCAACAATATCAAGTTGTTTTTCAGGGTGTATTTTCTTCTTTAATCGCATGATAGTATTTATGCGATGCTCAATGAAGTAATACACTTGAGTTGAGTACAAGTAAACAAACTAACTATGTGCATTATAAAGATTTTGATTTGAACATCAATTGTGCCAATCTTGATTTTCTTTTGCTAATGATCAGGGAGGATTAGCCAGGCAAGAGCTATTCTATCTTTTGAAAGGTGAAAAAGATGTGCATTTTTCCTTTGGGAGTATTCAGAAAGATGGAATCAAGAAAGCAACAGAAGGCATGCGTGCTTCCAAGTTCTGCCTCAACATTGCTGGTGACACCCCTTCATCAAACCGTTTGTTTGATGCAATTGCTAGTCACTGCGTCCCCGTCATCATCAGTGATGCAATTGAGCTACCATATGAAGATGTCATAGACTACTCTGAGTTCTGCATATTTGTTCGTACTAGTGATGCCATCAAAGAACATTTTCTAATAAACTTCATCAGGGGTATTGGCAAAGAAGAGTGGACAAGAATGTGGAACAAGTTGAAAGAGGTTGAACATTTCTTCGAATTTCACTTCCCTGCTAAGGAAAATGATGCTGTTCAAATGATTTGGCAGGCTGTGGCACGTAAGGTTCCTGCTATGAGATTTAAGTTAAATAGGTCTGGGAGGTATTCTAGGTCCCCTGCTGTTACAGACAAAGGACTAAAATCAATACCTACACCAAAGAATTTTTGGTGAAAAATATGCTATTGATCTGGATTTGAAAAATGTCATAGTTTTGTTTACATTTAGAATTGTGATAACATTTCTTACATCTGGACATTGACATTGTAACATTTTATTTTTTTTGTTATTATAAGGTTCTCACTTCTTACTTTGATATTCATACCATCAAAAGATTCGCAATAGGAATTTTTGAAAATCAGGTTCCATTTGTAGTTGGGGTACATGGTGAAGATTTATTTCGTTTATCATTTATTCAACCGTTCAAACAGGTAATGTTTCACAAACACTACCAACATGTCATACTACCTGATTCTGTTTTGTTTTCCAATGAAGTTTATATGTCCGTAGTTTTCGAGGCAGTATTTCTTCGATTTGTCTCAATATCACTATCAGGCTTTGGTTATCATTTTCCTACACTGATATAATTACTTAGGACTTTAGAAAAAAATGAATTGACTTCCACACTCCCTTTTTAATTCCCCAAAGTTGGGTGGATAGGTGTATATGGGTACTGGGAGAGTAGAAATTAAATTGACACATGGAAATACTAGCACAGGAAAACATCTGAGTGTATGGCGGTGAGATGAATGCTAAGAGTAACTCTTCAACTAGATTTTATGTGATCCTAATCCCATTAAATAACTTGACAAATATTGAAATGATGAGAAATAAAGGAAGAAAAGAAGAAAGGAGTATAGAAATACCTAAATCGTTGATAATGTGAAAACTGCAAAGTGCATAAGAGAAATATAGAGAAAGAAGTCGCATTATTCACGAATGATAAGGCTATAATATCCAAACCAGGAGGATTGAAACACTTTAATCTTTATATTTATTTTATTAATAAAATAAAATTTATAATTAATTTTAAATTAAAATAACAAAGATGGAAAAATCTTTAAAATATATAGATAGAAACAATTCCATATTTTCTAATACAGAAAAAGTATTTTCATACTTATATGTTGTGTCTAGTCCCTAAATCTAAAGATCTCGGATTAGAATCTTGAATTTATAACAATAATTAATTTTTAATATTAATTATATATATAAAAATAGAGAATTGCTCTTTGACAACCTTATCAGGATAGTCATTATTTGATATCTTCTGTATCATTGTCTAATATCATTTAAACAAATGTATGTATTTGATAAGTCATTCATTTGTTAATATTACAAGTTCTTAAAATTTATTAATAACTTTTTTTATGTTTTAATTTTTTTTTATCGTTTTTCTTTTTATTCAAATGTTAGTTTTTCTCCTTTTGAATTCATACAAAAATTAAATAAATTTATTTACATATGATTTTTTAAAATAAATATTCTTTTTTTATAATTTTAATGTATTAATCAAAATAAAAAATTCTAAAATTATTTTGATTTCTTATATTTTAATTAATCAACATAGAATATATATTGTTCTTACCAGAGTTCTGTCGTAGAGATGATCCACTGGGTAAAATCGGCGAGCCTCCTTCGCTGGTACGTTTGATGCTCCAAGATGGGGGTGGTACCTGCAAAAGAGACTCCGATGCTAAAGTTAGTGTTTGTGGATACACGCGTCTCGTATAAGTAATGCACGTACCTTGGGGGGGATTAGGGTTTTCATGAGCCTTGGGCCCGAGATCAGTTATGACCTATTTGGATGCCGAGTTGACGTCGTCTAGTGCGTGTCCGAGGTCACTCCGCGCTGAGATGTCGAGCTCGAGCTCGGCATGGTGGTACGGATAGTACACTAGCCCCCCGAGCTCCGAAGACCGCGGGTGGAGGAGTTAAGACAAAGCTTGTCAATGGGCCGTGACCCTTCGCGTACGCCTGTCTATCAGGATGCCATGTGTCACAACCGTCACCTCGTTCTTGGAAACGTGCAGGCGGCGTGCTAATGGGAGGTGATAGTTACGCAATGATGACTATGCCCATCATAATGGGGTTCATTAAATGTGCCATTAGCTTTGTCCCTTGGACGACACGTGTCGTGGCCGTTTGAATTTTTGGGGAAAAACCTTTTCTTTTCCTCACGCCCCTTCCCATTCATTTTACTCTTTTTTGTTCTCTCTTCTCGTTGGCTTCTTGTGCACGCTAGTTTCTGCTCCTTAGCTTCCGCCATCTCCGTCCTTGCTTTCTCTGTCTCTGTTCTTTTCTTTGTCAAAGGAGTACCAGGTACTTCGACTTCCTTATCTTCTCCTTCTTCTCAAATCTTCTCTCCTTATTGATGGCTGGTAATAGTGGTGCCGCTTCTTTTGCGCCTGCCAAGGGCAAGGGCAAGGCGCGCGACAAGGCGGTGGCTACCGGGACGGCCGCCGCCGAAAAGAAAAAGGCAAAGAACCAGCCTAAGGAGCCCATCCCCGACATTCCTGGCTACGACTGGGTCAGGAGTGACGTGGGGGAGTTCCAGAGTGTGTTTAGGTCATTCATGGAGATCAATGCGATGTGAAAATCGCATAGAATCTGTGACTCTTCCGTCTCCAAGTTCATCCGGCTCGAGCCTTGCCGGCCTGATGAGCGTGTCTATATGGGGGGTCCTTCTGACCCTCCTTTCTTTTATGTGTACCAGTGTCTTTTTAGGGATTTAGGCGTGTTTCTACCCTTTTCACAATTTGAGTGTGATTTTTAAAATTTTATCAACTCGGCACCTTACCAGTTGCACCCTAACAGTTGGGGTTTTTTGCAGGCTTTTCAAGTCCTATGTTCGGCCTTGGGGATAGAGGTGTCTCTAGCCATTTTTATCCACTTTTACCAATTAAAAATGGGTGTTCCTCCTTATGGCTTGATGTCCCTGAGTGGGAGTAAGGCTGGGGGACTATTTTCCCTTTACTCCCAGTCGTATAAAAATTTTACACAAGAGTTCTTCCAGGTGGCGCTTGTGGATGTCAACCCGTTGGAGGATGGGGTGTTCTATTTCGGCGGGTTGCCTAAGTTCCCCTTCTATTGGCGGCCAGCCCCGGCTAGATTTCACGGGGTGGGGAATTTGCAATTGTCAGCTTCAGAGTCCGCTACTATTGCAAACCTTGAAGCGCTCCTTCGTCCCTTGGATTACAAGCTCGTCCTATCACTTGCTAATTCGGCGTATAAGGAGAAGGGTCTAGAGAGTGAGTATCTTGTCCTTTTTAGGTGTTAGGGTTTGTAAGAGTTTTTGTTACTAATGTATTTGATTTCTTGTGTTCGCAGGCATAATGGGCAAAAACAAGTGGCGCGAGTTGAAGTCGCGTTACAATGTTGCCGAGATTGTGGTCCCTTAACCTCAGGAGGAGGAGATAGCCCCCCTGGAGACCCGCCGAAAAAGAAAGAGGGGAGAGAAGGAGGTCGGGGGGTCCTCTGCCCCTCGAGAGGCTGAGGAGGTGACCTCTAAGGCTGCTGATGCCGATGCGGTCGACCTCACGAGGAGTCCACCGCTTGAGGGAGCTTCTCAAGTGGCCGCCGAGGGGGTTGCTCAGGCTACCGATGTAGCTGCCCCGACTGCCGAGCAAGTCGTCCAGGCCGCCAAGGTTGGTGCCTTGCTCTGTGACTTTCCTTTTATGCTACGTTTTTCTTGGTTTTCTGACTTAGGACCGTTTTCTGCAGGTGAGGAGTGCTACCGAGGTCCTGGTGGCTCCTAGCTCGGAGGCACCAGGGGTGGGTGCCCCTGTTGCCGAGCATGGGACGTCTGTTACTGCTGAGGCTCGCAGCAAGGGGCCGAGCTCCGAGGTCCCAACACCTACTCCCGCAACCTCGGCGCCGCTGTCTGGCTCGTCGAAGGAGCGCCCTAGAAGCCAGTACCTCGCCCATCGCTTCGGAAAGGATCATTCTCGGGTGCGGCTGTATCATATGAGCGCTTCGGAGGACATAGATTCTTTGTGGAGTGCGGGGGTGACCTCGGAGAGGTTCTTCTCCAAGGAGTCGCTGAGTTTGGCCGATCAAGCCATGATCGAGACGGCCGGGCCAGTGGAAGGCCTTGATTCTGCTGAGGTGTTTTTGCAGAGGGCAATGGCCATTGTGGATCATTGGAAGCGCAAGTGGGCCAAGCAGCAGAAGGACCTTGAGAAGATGAGAGGCCGAGTCCAACCAGTGAAGGAGGAGAACAGGGCTTTGGGGGCCGCTCTTAGCGAGGCCAAAAGGTAGAATGAGGCTGAGCTTTGAGCTACAAGGGGAGATCTCGCGAGGGTTCAGAAGTCTCTAGAGATCGTGATAGCAAACCTAGGAGAAGTGATGGATGATCTTC